ACCAATTCTAAGCAGTCATTTTTGGCAAGTGAGTCCACCACAAATGTTATCTTCGTGGCCCATTAATCAATCCAACAAATGAGAAAACATGCGAAATCTAAATCCCCGTTTTAGTCTAGCCCAACAAACGAAGGCCCGGAACAGACAAAGCAATCGCCAGTCACTTTGTTGTTTCTTTAAAACCTAGACTAGACCGAGCCTCTACCTCCTCCAGCTCTGGTGCGGCTTCCCCTTGTGCTTCGGCGTGTGAAGAAGCCTCAGGTAATTCATGCTTCAGATGCTTCTGGTGTCTCTTGCTTTTCTTTCATCCGATGTTCTATGTCTCTACCATTGTAATTCTTGGCGATAATGCTGTACGATTCTGTTTGGAGATTTTATATACCTTTTTGAACTTATTGCTGATGGTTTTTCGGGGTTTTAATGTGGAAGATAGCCTGAAATGAATAATTTAACATGGATCTCTTATATGGTTTTCTGGTTTCTAGAAATCTGTATGCAAGGGACATGTGTCACTTTTTCTCCCCGCGGCTTTCTTTTTATAGAATAACTTCTATTGACGAAGTATAGTTATCAGTTGCTTGGTGAAATTCCCTTCTCACGTCCACCATACCAAGTAGTAGTTGAGGAATGCAATTTACAAACACTCAATAGTGATATACTTTTCTTTGCTCGGCTTCGGTAATGATTCTAATGTACTCTTGTATTATCGTATCCTTATCACAATGCTTTGAGTTGAGCTCCTGAGATAGAAGGATAACCTTTAAAAATGGCAAACAAGAATTGTATGTTACGTGATCAATAACATTATCTCATAATTAATCAGATGAATGATGTCGCCAGGTTTAAATTTAATTGGCACAATTTCAATGTAGATAGAATGCATTTCCTCTTTACCTTATTTTCACTGTTACCAGCAAAGTAGATTTTTCCCTTAGGGGAGTGCTCTACTATACGGTGTCCCACTGTGCGTGAAGTGCGGATTGATTTAACAGGACCAATGTAGTATCTCAGGGTTTTGAGATTTTTGCTTTTGTTTATATTATTGTATGCCGCTCTTATATTTCCTCAATTTTTTCTTTATATTTTCTGCTATTTTTGCTGTCAGGTAAGCTATGGTTAAGCATAACAATGTTATCCCAAACGGTCACTTCCGGAAGCATTGGCAAAATTATGTGAAGACATGGTTTAATCAACCAGCAAGGAAGACGAGGAGACGTTTAGGTAATTTTATATGGTTTCCTTCTTTCTCTTAACCTTTGCTCTAATGAATTAATTATCGTTTTGGATTTATACTTATTTTTTTCTTTTCCAATTTTTTTTTTACTTGCTGGTGATTCTAGCTCGGCAAAAGAAAGCTGTTAAGATTTTCCCTAGGCCCACAGCTGGACCCCTTAGGCCTGTTGTTCATGGCCAAACGTTGAAATACAACATGAAAGTCAGAGCTGGAAGAGGATTTTCCTTAGAAGAACTGAAGGTAAACCGTTTGTTACCCCTTATGTCGTATTGCACTTAGTTGCTCTGTTTATGTTATCGTGTTTAAGCAGCACTTAACTTCTTCCGCTAGGAGCAATGCCTGTTGGTTATTCCTTATCAAATTGTAGTTTTCTGAAATTCACATCTACTGGCAACTTTTTTTTTAAATCTTTACTGTTTGTTATGTTGCTTTAGTGTTTGTTTACCAATTTGTGTTTTGTGTTACGTGTTCTAACTTGTTTTAGGATGCTAATATTAGAAGGGTTGTTCTGGAATCTAGCGCTGGTATATTATGTGTTACAACTCCTTGCTGGGAAGCTTTGTAGGGGGTGTTTGGCAACCCTCAGAGAAGCACTTTTTCGCAAAACGAGACAAACTCTTCCATATATTTACTTCGTAAACCGTAAAAGCATTTTTGAAAGTTTGGTTTCCATCCAAACACCCCCTTAATTCTGGCTGCAAGGATGTGTCTAGTGTGTAGAAATTAATTTTTGAGAGAATTTAAGTATTTTGTTATGATTCTTTGTACCACTGTTAAAGCTTGTAAAATTTATCTGGTTAAGCCCTTCTTAGACAGTGATTATAGAGCAATAAAGTATAAAGAACCTATTTAATCTAATCTACTCTAATCTTTGTAATATCAGGCTGCAGGCATTCCTAGGAAGCTTGCCCCAACCATTGGCATTGCTGTTGATCATCGCCGAAGGAACCGTTCTCTAGAAGGTCTTCAGACTAACGTCCAGAGGCTGAAAACATACAAGGCCAAATTGGTTGTCTTCCCAAGGCGTGCACGCAAGTTCAAGGTAAAATAAGATCGTTGGGATGTTTGGTAAATTTTTGTTGTGGTGACTATCTTCCTTGATGAAGAAGGGGGGAAAAAAAAAAGGTTTTATTTGACATCTCTATATATGTTAACTTTGGCTATTGCAGGCTGGTGATTCTGCTGCCGAGGAGCTTGCCAATGCCACTCAAGTGCAGGGACAATACTTGCCAATTGTGAGGGAGAAGCCGTCCGTCGAGCTTGTTAAGGTCACAGATGAACTGAAGGCATTTGATGCTTATAAGAAGCTTCGTGCCGAACGCACGAATGCTCGCCATATCGGTGCCAGGCTAAAGAGGGCTGCCGAAGCAGAAAAGGAAGAAAAGAAGTGATGATCTTTTAGCACCCATTTTGTACCGCCATTTAATAGATAATTGATTGCCATGCCATTTTATTTTTGTATGAGATTCAACGTCTATGGTTTTATTTAGAGCATTCTAGTTTAAATGTCACCTTGTGAACGGTTACTAATTTACAGTCCTCTGCTTTTCTCTGTGGTGCGTCTGAATTCTGGATGATATCATTTTAGTCTTAATTTTTCCTCTATGTTTCTTAATAGGTGCCTGAAATATGCCTGCCCTGATGATTTTATTACTAGTTCCGGTTCATAATATAAGACTTTGTTTGATTTTTATTTTAGTTTTAAATATAAGGTTCCAATCTATTTTTTTTCCCTCTCAAAGTAGTCCTTCTAATAATAGTAATTTTAGCTTATAAATTTAATTAGTAGGGATATTATAGGAAAGATAACATCTATTTAGTACAAATAATTAACTTAACTTATTTTTTTAATCTTTTTAAATTAGTCAATTAGTTCTTATAATTATAATTGAAAGTAGTATTTAGCTTTGTGTAGGGGCAAGTATCCCACTATGTATTGAACATATACATAATCAAAATAGGAGAAAATTTTTATTCATTTACGTTTATTAAGAAATTAATTAAAATTAATTTAAAATAATAAATATATAAGTGTGTATTTTCTTCTCCTAAATATGTCCTTATTATAAGTAAAAAAAATGTAAGAAATGGATTAAAGAGGAAAAAGAATATATGGGGGTTAAAATTAAAAGAAAATTATTAAATGTTTGGACAAAAGTAAATGTTATAAAAGAAAAATCAAGTCTTCTAATAAAGTTTATTTTATATTTTGAGCTGGAGGTATGTTAATGGGGAGATAACATCTCATTAATTGTTTTCTTGGATCCTTTTTAATTTTAACAAATAGGCAAAAGAATATTTGAAATCTTGGGATGTGGAGATATGTTCCTCAAACTGTTAGTATTGAAGTCGAAACTTGTTAAAATTAATTTGCCCATGATTTTGTTCGCTCTGTTTTTAGAACATGTTTTATATGCTCAACTGAAATTTATTTGAGAAAATTAGGCATAAATTCTTTGTTGGAAAATTAATTAGTAAATGTTTGATGATGATGGATAACACAAGCGAAGATAAGCTGCACATAAAGTAAGTTAAGCCGTACAAAAGATCATTTATATAAAATATTATCTAGATATAAGGAGCTAATTTGTACATAATGAAGATGGATTATACATAAGAAAAGTTTAATTGCAAAAGGAAAGATGTCGTGCAAAAAAAAAAAAAAAGATTATGTATAAGGGAAGATAGAACGCACACAAGGAAGTTGAATTATACAAAATTCTCAAAGATTTACCAATTAATTTTTTAATGAAAGATTTATCCCAATTTTCCCAATTTATTTCTCCACCATTTAAATTAAATGTTAATAGCACTTTATAATATATCAAATTCAATTATTGTTTTCTATATCAAACTATGCTGTGCCATTAAGAAGTTTATGTTTTTCCCTAAGCCTTTTGCTTTAATATTAAAAAATACATTGATGCCTTGATATTCCGATAATCCTTAATGAAGGAGCTATTTAAGTAATTTGATTAAATTAAGATAAATTAGTTACTTAATACTAACAATTATAATCTTTTGAATCTAAAATACTCCTATATAACATTTTATTGTATGAGTTTAATAGTTAGGCATATTAATTTGAAGAAGAATGACAAATGTGAGGAAAGAATGTAAAAATTAACTCCCTAATTTTGTTTGTCAAGAAGAGTCAATTTGGGCTGGAACTGGGCTGATCTCGGGGGCCCTATGGAAGACCTCGCGAGCTTGTTGGCAAGGGACCGGGTGAAGTTGTTGTATATGAACATGTCAATAATAATTTTTTTTGGTCCAAAAATGTCAATAATAATTGGAATTTTAACATGTTTATCATTGAGCAGTTAAGAAAAAAGAAAATTTATATACTAAATATGAATAATTTATCACTAATATTTTTTGAAATATAAAGCAACTCAAGCCAAAAAAAAAATCCTTCTATGGATGAATTTTATTTTCTCATAAAAAAAGTATTATCTCCTGTCCTATTTATAAGATTTTAAATATAATCCATAAATAAAGTCTTATAAGATCTTATTTATAATTTATAAATAAAATCTTATAAATAGAATATGAGGTAATATTATAAAAACGCACGAATAAGAGAATTTTGTGACCATTTTCGTGGCCATAAATAAGGCATTGATTCTTATAATAAAAGAAATTCAGTTGATTGGGGGTAGTGGTTACCGAATTCAATTTTCAAAAGGGCCACGGGAGGAGTATCCTACGTGTACGGATGTGATTGGCTAGTGGCTACTGAGAGTTCAAAGTCGCTCCCCCACCCTGCTCTGCGATGCATTATAAAGAGGCCTCGAACGTAACGCAATTCATCTCATCATCTTCTTCCTAGAAGTGCCAGAAGAAACCAAATGGGTCTCAAGGTTTGCATCCTCAATCTTTGTCTTCCCCAGTTTTCAATTTTAATTCTTCGTTATATTATTCATCTGCACACACGGTTCGGTCCTTTCTTTACTGTAAAAGCATGCTAGTTTCTCAGATCCGCGCCTTTCCCCGTGTGGTTTTGTCAATTTTTCTTTAGTCAGTTCGTTTGTCAGATCTGTTTTTCTTGGATTTTTTCTTCAGCAATCACAAATTTTCTGTTCTCTGTTTATTTGTTCTGGGAAAAAGCCCTATTTTCCCATTTATTTTGCTTGGCGGGTATCTTGTAACCTTCGAGTGGTATCCTTGATAGGTTTGGAAGTACAAAGAGAGTTTTAGCTGCGGGGATCTGCTCTTTTATGTATAGGCTTTAGGTTACTGATTGTGTATCTTGGGAGGATTGTACTCTTAAGTAATAATGAGGCGGTTTAATAAAATGAAGAAAAAAATGTAGGGAGTTTTAGCTGCAGGGATCGCTTCACTTTTTCGTAAAATTTATGGAGTTCAGTGTTCGTAGCTAATATTTGATATAGTGTGGAAAGAAACCTGTTCCTAAAATTGTGGAATAGCTCCTTCTATCGCCATAATGAAATCTGTTTCATCAGAACTGCAAGTAAGAATTTAGTCAAGCATATTCAACTTTAAGTCAACAAGGATTGATTTGGTTACTAGTTAGCTTAGGTAGCATTAAAATTTCACTCTTTTATTCAAACTTAACCGCAAAATTTGCTAACGAAGTCATTTTATTTTTCCATTATGAATAACAAAAGTGAGAACTTGGAAACCTTTATGCATCACACGCTCATTGGGACATTGTTATGCAGGAGGATTTTGAGCAGTACGCTGAGAAAGCCAAGACTTTGCCTGACACTACAACAAATGAAAACAAGCTTATCCTCTATGGATTGTACAAGCAGGCCACTGTTGGACCTGTTAACACTAGTGAGCGCTTTTCTTTCAACAAACAAGATTCAGCAACTTTAACTTCAGAATTTATCTTGGATTGTCTTTAATGCTTATGAATGTGTATGCTTTCCAGGTCGTCCCGGGATATTCAACATGAGGGACAGAGCCAAATGGGATGCATGGAAGGCTGTTGAAGGTAAAAAAGGAAATAGCGCATTACACGGATCACTTGAAAGCTGGCTAGACCAATTGATCTTACACCGAAACTTGTTACTTTCTGTGTCTTACAGGGAAATCCCAGGAAGAAGCTATGAATGATTACATCACCAAGGTGAAGCAGCTTCTGGAAGAAGCAGGAATGGCTGCTTGATAAGATCTTCATTAGCCTTGCTTTATTTATATTTCAACGTGTTTGCTAAATAAGCATAAGCAGTTTTTAGTCTGACACTGTCCAATGCTTCCTCTCATTATGTGATGAATCAAACTGTGACTTTGTTTAGTTAAATGTTCTTATAGCTTTATGGAAATTGGTTGTGGCTGAGCCAATGAGTGGAAACAAGTAGAAGATATTTATATATGGTTGGATTGAAATGGTTTCTACTTTCAATTCATTTCGCCCACTGGATCGCTTGATTGGTTTTATTTCCTTGTGCTCCCTACCAGATGGTAGCAACCAAATCAATAACGCATTACTGCTTTTATTTAAATGCAAGTTAGGATAAAGCGAGTAAAATAGAGATATCTTCCTTGTGGGAATTAAACATGTCCACCCACCCTGTTGCCTAAATAAAATTTAAGATCAGGTCTTGTCAAATTGATATTGATATTGTCCTAGTGAAAAGTGAAAACGATACATGTGCATATTTATATAGAGTAACTTCTATTAAGTTATATCACTCATTAATTGAAAATGATTTAACTCATTTACCAAGCCATACATCAAATGCTTTTAAATGTAAAGCAGATCTAGGAGCGTCAATTTCTTAAATTGGCACAAGATTCTCCATGTCAAAAGACGCAATATATGAAGTCAACTTGATGATTTGCGGACAAACAAAATCAAATCCTTTAGAGTCAAAATCAAATCTTTTAGAGAAATCGAATATAGTTAATCGAATTTAATAAAGCATAGGGATCTTCTTAAACGTTGAATTTTCGTATACACAACTAAATATGAGTCACTCTTGGTTGTGTTTATTGGTTGGGCACTTTGATTATGATGAGTAAGTTGTGAATGTTGAGATGTGGGGTGGGCTTCTTTTATCGGCATTTGGCGTGATTAAATCATTAGGTCCCCTTGTTACTGAGTCGGTGCTGATTAACTCGTGGTACTAATTAGATTATGTAGTAATAATAATAATAACAACAACAATTATTATTATTATTATTATTATTATTATTATTATTATTATTATTATTATTATTATTATTATTTCTGGATAAAATGCGGGGTAAGAAGCCCAATTTATTGACTCATGATGGCAAGTGGGCAAGCAACCCCTACTTCATCATTGTTCAAAAAGAATCTCACTGTGTGAGGTGGTCTTTGAAAATATTACCTTCAATCTTTAATATAAAAACCAGTTGACTAATTTGAAAAAATTAAAAAAGTTATTTATTTGTAATAAATGGATGTTATTTTTTCTAAAATCTTTGTAGATAATGTGTATTAGAATTATCTTTTTATAGAAACTTTTAACACGTGTAACTATTATGAGGACTACTTTGAAAAATGGTAAGTAAATATAGAAGACAAAATGGATTGAAATTTTATATTTATGATCAAATTAAATGTCAAACTAGTTTTTATACTACCTCTGATCCTTAATATAAGATCTCATTTGACTTTTATTTTGGTCCTAATTATAAGCTCCTAATCCACTTTGTCTATCATATTTATACATTCTTTTTCAAGATAGTCCCTCTAATAATAGTAGTTTTAGCCAAAAAACTTGATTAGTAAAGATATTTTAAGAAAGACAACACTTATTTATTACAAATAACTAACTTAATATATTTTTTAATCTCTTCAAATTAATCAATCAGCTTTATAATTAGGATCAGACATAGTGTTAAGGATCAAGGTAGTAATTATGTTATTAATTATGCAACACACAGATTTCATTGAACTATCATACTCAGTATATGCAAATGCAAGGGTTTTATTAAACTTAAAACGTGGTGGGCCCACTACCAGCTGCCCACCCATCTTCCTCACCTTTTCACAGCTTCAACCTCACTTGTACTTGTTGTATCAAAAAAACAAAAAAAACTCACTTGTACTTGGTCAAAAAAAACCTCACTTGTCACCTTCCTTGGCCACAAGTATCTCCTCCATGCCCCGCCTCGTCTTTTGTTTCTATTTAATTTAATGGTGTAACTAATCATTTCTTTATAAAAAATTCTTAACAAAATGTACACATTAAATAGGAAAAATGACATAAAACAAGTTAAAAATCATAATATTTTAATTTAGGCATCTAAGAGTCAAAATCTTAGAGAAGGAAGTGATACTTAATCTGATAGTTTGTAAATGTAATCAAATGACTAAAATATCCTTATAAATATTTATATCTCTTGCTACTATGTTTCTAGATATTTATGGATGAGTTGCTTTGCTTTGGATGGAAAGAATTAATACACACATATATTTAAAGAAAAAAAGAAAGAAAACACAAAACAAACTGAAAATAAAGAAAAAATTTTTACTTAAATCCCTCAGACTTACACCTGCTTTAAATTTAATTAAATCTTTCAGACTTACACCTACTTTAAATTTTTTTAAGTATGTGATAGGTTCATGAATCAATTTATCGGGAAAGAAGTAGAAGAGGAAAAGACAAGATAAGGAAGAGACAAATTAGAGGGATAGATAGAAGAAAAGGAACGAAAGAAGGGAAGAGGGGAAAGGACTAGAACCAGAATCTGAGTTCTAGGGAACACAAGTTTGACTGAATAATACTGCATAACATTACTGCATTTCGGTCTGAGATAAATACATCATACTTCAACTGCTAATAACTACTTAACGCTTGAGATGAAACGGGAAGTAACTAACCTTATCTACTAACATTAAAACTTAATACATAAAACATAAAAGTAACCGACACTAAAAACATAAACCATAACTAACTGCAACGCTTCTTCCTTGAATAAACTAATAGACGTTGCGGCTGGGTCCTATCAATACCCTCCCCTAGGAAAACAGACTTGTCCTCAAGGCTGAAAGAAGGAAATTGGGTGGTAATCAGATCGTAATCCTCCCAACTAGCCTCCTCGATAGGACGATTCTGCCACTTGATGAGCAGGTCAACACGCTGAATGTTATTTGTGGAACTGACACGTGAGTCCAACACCCTCTCTGGAACAACAACAAATTCCCAATCATCTGAAATAGGCAGGGGAGGTAGCGGAGTGGAAGGAACCACACCATGGGCAGCCTTGAGCAAAGAAACATGGAAGACTGGGTGGATTCTGGCGGTGGGAGGAAGCTGGAGCTCATAAGCAGCATTACCAACCTTCTTGAGCACTGGATAAGGACCAAAATACCTTGGAGAAAGTTTATCAAAACGTCGTGAACTTAAGGAATGTTGACGGTAAGGTTGCAGGCGCAAGTAAACCAAATCCCCAGGTTCAAATGTGACATCACGGCGTTTTGAATCTGCATAATCCTTCATCTTGTTCTGTGCAGTACGGAGATTGTCCTTGATAGTGCTCAGAAAAGCGTCCCGTTCAAGGAAAAACTCCTCCAAGTCAGAAATGCGAGTGCCGCCTTGCGTGTACTGCAAGAGTGAAGGGGGGTCTCGCCCATAGACAATTCTGAAGGGAGTAGAGCCCGTAGAACTATGAAACCCAGTGTTGTATGATAACTCTGCCCAATGTAGGAATTGTGACCAAGTTTTAGGATGCTCTTGAGAAAAACACCGCAAGTATGTTTCAAGACATCTGTTGACAACCTCTGTCTGGCCATCAGTTTGAGGATGGTAAGCAGTACTCATCCTCAACTGGGTGCCACTTAACCGAAATAACTCCTGCCAAAATGCACTCAGAAAAATGGTGTCACGGTCAGAAATAATGGACTTAGGTATGCCATGGAGACGAACCACTTCCTTACAGAATGCAGCAGCCACTGATTTTGCAGTGATAGGACGGTGTAATCCAATGAAGTGGCAATACTTACTGAATCGGTCAACGACTACCAGAATTGTATCCATGCCGTGAGACTTAGGCAAGGCAGTGATAAAATCCATAGAGAGGTCTTCCCAAATAGTGGCAGGGATGGGCAAAGGTTGGAGTAAACCTGAAGGAGCACAAGGCTGATACTTATTCTGCTGACAAACAGAACATTGTTGGACATATTCTTTCACCTCATTCTTCATATTTTTCCAATAAAAATACTGCTGTAACCTTTTTAAGGTTTTAAGATGTCCCCCATGTCCTCCTGTAGGAGAAGAGTGAGCTTCTGCAATCAGTTTATGACTAAGATCAGAGGGGGCAGGAATCACCAATTGATTATTATGATACAGCATGCCATGTGCAAGAGCAAATTGAGGAACTGAGGTTGGATCAGACTGGAGTGAGGCAATAATGGAAGAGGTGTATTGATCCTGTTGAAGTAATTCCTCAAGATTGTGTAAGTCAGTAGCTTGGGGAATTGTCAAAACAAGAAGATCAGCAAAAGGTGGTCGACGTGAAAGTGCGTCAGCTCCTTGATTGGATGTGCCAGTCCTGTAGTTGATTGTAAAATCAAATGGCAACAGTTTCATGAGAAGACGTTGCTGTTCTGGAGTGGTCACTCGTTGTTCCATCAAATATTTGAGACTATAGTGATCTGTAAAAACCTCAAATTTCCTGCCAATAAGATAATGACGCCACTTCTGTAGGGCAGATACCAAAGCAATCAACTCCCTATCATAAACAGATTTGTGCCTGTTGGAAAAATTTAAAGCCTTGCTATAATATGCAATAGGATGTCCATCCTGTTGCAAGACAGCACCCACTCCAGCAGAGGAGGCATCACATTCAACAACAAAAGTCTTGCTGAAATTGGGAAGTTGCAAAACTGGGACAGAAACTAAAGCTGCCTTCAACCCGTCAAAGGCAATAGAGGCTTCAGAATTCCAGGTAAAAGCATCCTTCTTAGTGAGCTCAGTAAGAGGCTTTGCTATTAAGCCATAGTGCTTGACAAATCGTCGATAGTACCCAGTTAAGCCCAAAAACCCACGCAATTCAGTCACGTTGGTGGGCGTCGGCCAAGCAGTAATTGTAGCAACTTTGTCACTATCAGCAGCTACCCCCTTGTCACTGATCATATGCCCTAAGAATGAGACCTCTGATTGTGCAAAGTGACACTTCTTACGATTGGCAAAATAAGCATGTTGCTGCAAGGTCTGCAACACAATGCGCAAATGCTCCATGTGTTCCTGGAAATTGCTACTATACACCAAAATATCATCAAAAAACACAAGTATGAATTTGCGCAGAAAGGGACGGAACATATCATTCATGGTTGCTTGGAATGTGGCTGGTGCATTAGTGAGGCCAAATGGCATTACAACAAACTCATAATGGCCAGAATGTGTCCTGAAAGCTGTTTTATAAATGTCATCAGGGTGAAT